CGGCGGCGAGCCCTCCGGAGGAGCCGGCAGGGTGGGAGGGGGAGCCCCGAGCGGGTTGAGGCCCCGAGCCGGCGGGGAGGGCTCGCGGGCCCGGGCGGTGTCGGGAGTCCCTGGGGGCAGCGCGGCCGGAGCGGATAGGGCTCCGAGCTTGCGGTGGGTAAGACCAGGGCTACCAGTCTGGTTGCCAGGGAGGGCACCTTTGGTAGAAGACTGATTTTTCTCGAACTTTCTCTGGATGGGGCTCTGAGGTACTCATTGGAGACCCGAGTTTTCCCTTCGCTCTGGCTCCTGCCCTCTAGGGGTCGCTCTTGTGGGCTTTTTCGAGGCTCCCCGAGTCATCCAAGCCCTGTCGGAGGCCGCAGCGGCAGTCGGAAGGCTGTTTTCGCCTTGGCCTTCCCCAGCGGCGCCGGTGCAGCCTCAAAGGGAGGGCTGCTGGTTTTCTTTCGGCCCTCTTGGAAGCGTTGAGGGATAGGGCCTCCGGGCTTTTCAAGGTAGTGGGGACGCCGCCACGCGGCTTTTAGAGAAAGTGCTGTTACTGAAGCGCTGCAGTGCTGGAGCTGCAGCAGAGCTCCGCTTGGCTGGGAAGGGAGCACGCCTGATGGGCGTCTGAGCAGTTCTGCTGGTTTATATAACGCTCTTTATTGAAAATGCTTTTGCAGTCAAACATGCGTAAGGAGTCTCTTAGATTCCTCAGAGAAAGGAATTCATTTGGTCAACAGTCGCCAAGAAAGGTGGCTCTGGGCACGTTAGGACACATACTGGGGGGCAGCAGTGACTTTATCCCACCCAGTGGAAGTTTGTCAGGCTTTTGAACAGTGTTGGCCAAGTCGCCCTGCTGAGCTGAGCCCCGTCTCAGCCAGTGCTTCAAAGACTCGGAAGTGGGGTGCTGAGGTACAGGTTAAAGAATGGCTGGCCCAGCCTCTCAGGGAACTTGAACTGGCTGTCACTGGCTGCCCAATTCTCATGCTCTTCCTGTTCATTTTCTGTCCTGTCAGGAAACGTGCTCACTTTATCAGAAACCATCTAGCTGCAGAGGATGAGTCTGCAGTGGATTGCGGTTGCCACCTTTCTCTATGCAGAGGTCTTTGCTGTGTTACTTCTCTGCATTCCCTTCATTTCTCCGAAAAGGTATGCCCTGTGGAGCAAGCAAATGAGTGAGCGAGCAGGAGGGTGACTGGTGGCCTGTTGCTGAGGCTGGCAGCTTAGGTGTACAGAGTTGGTGGGCCCTGGAATTGGGGCCAGGCAGAAACAGATAGAACTTGTCTCGGGTGGGGGTGGCAGAGGTCGTGCTTAGTATTGCCAGCCCACCACCGAGTTGCTGTTCTGCTTTGTCACGTCTGGCTGAGCTCCTTTCCTGTGCACCCTGCCTTCTGGTCTTCAGAGTGCCCCAAAGAGAAGACCACCTATCTCTCGTTATGGTTCTGGGAATCATGCCCTCCTCCCTACCCTTAGGTCCCTGGGGTGCTGGCGATGGCAGTGCAGGATCCTGAAGACTTGCACCACCGGATCACATTGCTGCTGAGTTGGTGACTTCTGCCCTCCTAACTGTCTCACTAGCGTTGCCTCACGAGCATTACTCAGCCTGTGAAGGGTGAAGCCATGTTCCTTTTTAATGGACAGAAGACCTGTTAAAAGTTCATTCAGAATGAATTTTTAATGACTCGTGATACAGAAATACATTGTCCTTACTAAGATTAAGATGTTACGAATAAGGCTGAGTCTCCCCAGGTTCTTAAAAAAACTGTTGTAGTGCAAAGCACAGATCTTTGACGTGATACAATAGAAAGTATATGATCCTGCCAAAGACCAAACCTACAACTGCTCGCCCCTCATAGAGTTCCGAGGAAGTGCGGCAGACAGAGGAACCCCTTGGAGCTGCAATCTGGGAAACTTTATAAGACAAACCACCTGGTTTTTCCAAGAATAAATGGCAAAGGGACACCAAAGAGGGAGAGGGAAAGGGAAACATAGAATGAGAGAGATTTAAGATACCAGCTACATGTAGGATTAGAACCTGGTTGGATTCTGAGTCAAACCAACTGTTTAAAAAACTACCTCGATTAGAAATTTGAACTCTGGCTTTGATATTGAGAGATTGTTGCTAACTTTTTTTTTTTACGTCTGCTAATGGTGGGATTACGTTAAATATTTCTAAAGGTTCCTATGTTTTAGAGGTCCGTACTGAAGTATTTATGGATGAAAATGATAGGTTGTCTGGGACTTGTTTCATAATAATCCTAGGAGATAGATAAAACAAGATCGGTCATGTGGAAAAACAGCTTAAACAAATGATGTGTGTACGTGGCGGGAATTTTGAATACCACAAAAGGGAATGTGCGAAAAGTAAGTTTCCTTTCTCAGAGACTACCATTTTTTAAGAACGTGGTTTTTGAGTAATTTCTACACATGGACAAGCATCTTATTTTGTTAAGTCTCTTGACTAGGTGTCATAAATTGGAGAATTGTCAGCAGCTGAGGCTGACTGATTTTTGGCTGTTAGGGAAGAATGCACAACTGGATTTCTGCTCTTCTCAGGGCCCAGGGCCCAGTGTGTGTTCTTTCTCTTTAACCCCAGTCCATTTTGTTTTCTTCACAGATGGCAGAAGATTTTCAAGTCCCGCCTGGTGGAGCTGGTAGTGACATATGGCAACACCTTCTTTGTGGTTCTCATCGTCATCCTCGTGCTGCTGGTCATTGGTGAGTAAGCTGTGGCTGAGGTCAGCTACCTGACCTAGACCCTTTGCTGTGATCTCCGCCATTGAGTTGAAACCCACTGCAAAACCTTGTGCTGTGTTGGGCTTCTCTGAGGTAGACCGATTGTGTGTCCCCTTAATCCGTCTTGGCGAAGTGTCTCTCTTCATCCGTGAAGAGGGTGCTTCTGTCTGACAGCAAGGCCTTTACCCTGAGTAGCACTTCTAGCAGTGGGGTGGGCTTAGACCAAGCCCTAGGATGACCACCTTGCGTTGCTAAAATTGAGAGAAGCTAACTGGCCCATGACCTTGGTCTGCTTAGCACTGCTCATCAGTCACTTACACGGCATTGCTTGTCTTCTCCCTCTATGCTTGACCTGGGCTTTGAACCCAGTAGCCAGCAAGTCTAGCTAGGAAAGGAAGCCCTGCCAGATATCTGCAGCCTGGGAGCATGTCTTGGGGGACATATCCTAGACTGCTTGGGGTCTCGGTTAGACTGTTAGGTCTTCCAGAGTCCTTCCAGTTCTGTGGTTTTATAAGCCTCTGCGATGAGGCGTACGGCACTTGGTGCTTGGAAGATAACCGGTCTTGGAAGATAACTGGTCTGAGGACACGCTCAGGGATGGGAATAGGGGCCAGAGGGTGCTAAAACGGTGCTAAGAGGTGAAAATTTGAAGATCAGGTGGTAGTGGAGACGAGAGGAATCGAGAAAGCCTGTCTGGTGGTTAAATGTTGGTTATTTTGCCTGCTACGTGATCAACAAGGCCCCCTGCCGGGACTCTGCCAAGGACGGGCTCGGCTCTGTTGTAGGAAGCAGTCTGTCTCAGGGCTGCCTGCCCTGCCTAGGTGTGTGGTGCTCTTCTCCCATCTGAATCCCGGGCAGAAATGTGGCACGGGGTGGGTGGGGAGAGAGCCTTGCTTCAGGGCAATGTGCAAAGCTCCACCTGCTAGCAGTGGCATTAGGCATTTGTCCTTCCGCTGTTTCAAGCCCTGCCAGATCTGTTCAGGCAGGACTGCCTCTGAACTGGCCAGGTGTGGCCTACCAGCTCGCAGCTGCAGAGGATGGGTGCCAGCTGCCTGCATACCTCTGTGTTCTTGAAATACTTGGAGAGGCTCCATGGGGTAGCTCTTTCCAATTAGGGTTCTCTGTCTGACCAGCCTCTGAACCAGGAGGGGTAGGGAATATGTGTGTCATCCCTGAGGCTGAGCTCTATGAAAAGCCAGCGACTGAGCAGAGTTTGGCTTTTGGGCTTCGGATGGGGGAAAGAACTGGGGAAGGGAGGGACGATTTACTCAGGGTTTTGCCCCTTCCCAAACCCAAATGAACGTTTCTATTTCTTCGCTCCTGGGTTGGTGCTTCAGGGAGCTTGGTGGGCTGCTAGGGAGATCCTATGCAGAACCACTGTAGTCGACAAAGGGGAGGTCAGGGAATTGCTTGAAAATTCTACACGTGCCTGTGACGACTGGCTGCTTTCTACCCTGATGTTAAGGATAACCTAGAGAAGGCTGCAGAGCCTTCTACAGGTACAAGTGTTAGTGAATAGTAAATGCTAGTGAAAGGAACTGGGCGGGACCAGCTAGAGTTGCAGCCC